AAGTTTGTTCTCTTCAATCATGCATGCAAGCTACAAACAAATGAAATTAATGCACTTAAAAATTCATCCATATGTGTTTTTCTTATACACTCAAATTATTCCCATTAAACATTATCATATATAATTAGTTGCTTCCACGTTAAAAAAAAAAAAAAAAAAAAAAATCATCTTGTCAAGAATTTATACCATGTATACCAAAAATGTTAACTAGATCGACATACTCATGTTTGTTTCCCGTTTTCTAAATATTGTAGGGTTTTACTGGACTCGGATTCACAAAGCAAGTTTGAGAGCCTAAAGTCTTGATTTTGAGCAAACAAGTTCTAGAATTAGACAAGTTAGTCATGAAACAATCTAGAGTAATACGAAATGAAAACATAAAACACACACAAATATCAATTGAGTGAAGAAAAAGAAATATACGCACGATTTATCCCAATTCACCTAATCAACATGCTACGTCCAACAGAGTTAATATTATTTTAAATGCTACGTCCAACATAGTTAATATTATTTCAATACTGTCCCATCTCTCTCGTTATAATGAAAGTAATTTGCCATATGATTTGTTATCACACTCAAATAAGAGAAAATAATGTTTCTATACTAGGTTTAAAAGACTAAAACCTAATATTACAAAGATTCTTATTCTTAAGTCCAAACTCAATAATGAATTAATAACTTAGAGAAATCATTCAGCGACTCTTCATGAAAAAGACTCAGATTGCCTACGGGCTTGGGGCTGTTGCCCCCTCGACCCCAAATGCGTCTGCGTGATTTCTTATTGTTAAAGTGATCAACAACTGCAACATGTCAGTTGTTTTTTAAAATGGCAACCATCTTGTTGGGTTGAATTATCAAATTGTAAGGTTTGGTGAGAACTTTGATTCAAATTTGTATTGGTAAAGCAAATATGAGATATTTATGAAAATTTATATGCAAGTATTAATTTTTCAAAAATACTATACTTATAAAGATTTCCATACAAAGTGAGGTGACAAAAAATGAATGGAAGAGTAAAACGAAAAGTCAAACTCATTAAATTTACTTTTTCATTTATTTTTTATCACATCGCTTTGTATGAAGATCTTTGTAAAATTTCTTTGTAAGTGTAGTATTACTCTTAATTTTTAGCAAGTGAGTATTGAACAAGTTGGTTAGTTGTTTTAGAAAATGGGAATGGGAGCTTGAGGTTTTGGATATCTATGTGCTATAAGTTTCAATGATCGGGGATTGGAACAGTTACCGAAAGTAAAAGGAGTCATTTCCTTAGTAGAGGAACAAAACAAACCATTCTGCTGGTCGCGGGTATAACAATACGAAAACAGTAAGGAAAAGGTCAGTGTCCAATATCAAAGAAAAAAACATTGTAAATTGAACTTCTGTTCATTAGTACAATTCTCTCTATTATTATTGTTTTTTTTTTTTCAAATGTCTTTTCCAATTTTTGATAAGGGAAACTTAGTTTATGTTTGATATTTTATATAAATTAAAATAATAAATAGAAGAAGTCACAATCAATGATCACCAAATTGAATATTATCTGACAGAATTTGAAAACTGAGCCATACATTTCCATAACCAATGCACATTCGACACATGAAAACACCAATCAACCTCGTGAATTTCACTCATGTCTTCTCTCTTCCGGCCGCAATCAGATTGGATTGAATTATACGAGAAATAAAAAATAATTATTGTATTCATAATCAATTATATTATTATGAATTATTTATGATATTTATTTGGTCCAACATCATCCAACAATAATATTTTATTATTGAATATATATATATATATTTTAGGTAACCAAATAATATCATTAAAAAAAAATATATATATATATAATGTATAAAAAAATTATAAAAAAACTAGTCATCTTATCTTAGGACAGACCCTAAAAATGCAAATCACTATTAAAAAGTTTTATGCACTGATGCCAAACCTTGATGCATTTACAATGTTGGCGAAATTTAATGTCACAAGAAAACACCAATCAATAATTTGGATTAGGTCATCTAGAAGATATTATGGGGCATTTTAGAGTTTGAGATTATTCAAGAAATGATTTTGTATATATATATATTTGTAATATGATGTGACCATATATTATATATATTATATATATGGATGTGAAAGTATATAAGAAGATATAAAGTAATATATCCAATCAATAAAATTTTCACCATACAAATCATTTCTTGTTTTGGAGGCGTTATGTAACGACGGGGCCGACCTCACCACGTTTGAGCCACGTGAACTGCATGTGCATGCAGCAAAACTCTATAAGTCTATGGGATGAGAATGCATGCATGCTCACGAGCGAATGTCCTTCCATGTAATATCATCCATCCACCCATCTAATCCAACCATTAATTGAATGGTATGTCATAAGAACAAGCACATCATCATGATATGACCATTAATATGACATCATAATCTTGTTTCTATTATGTTGTGTTCATAGCTACCACAAAAATAATTAACAAGAAAAAAAATTGGACTTTGTTTTTGTGTGTTAATTTATGGACTAAAAATGAAGATAGCATAAGGGGGTATTGTTGGAATTTAGAATAATAGATTTAAAAGAGAAGCATGAGATAATGGTGTTGGGGACACCTATGAAATATATTGCATGTTAAAAGAGTGAAGAGGGCCACTTGGGTCATGTTGGACAAATAAATAAAATAAAACACAAATCTAACCACAAAATACCAAAAGAAACTTTATTACTTTTCAAGGGAATGACCAAATATATATATACAAGTGAAAAGCATAGTAGCACTCATTCTACTTCTATTTTTCTTCAACGACAAACCACACCCTTCATACTATACTTCAAATTTACCTTATCAACAATGCAAAATTTAATCACAAGATGATGATATTTGAGCGATATGAGCTGATCTTGGGGATTATTGTATTTTTATCGATAAAAATCGACTGTATCGATTGAGATGTTATTGGAAAACAACAAATTTTCTGTAGTGATATATCTATCTTGAAGAAATCTTATATTAAACCATCTTTTATCATCATCATGCATGCATGCATGCATTGTTGCTCATTTTTAAAAGAAATAATATCTACTTTTTGGTAACACAAATGAGCCTAGATTTAAGTAAAGTATAATTAGGGAGATTCTAGTGAGAATCGGAGTAAGGGTGACAAACTACCTCCGAGTGATTTGATAAGGACTCTTGGGTGTCTTATTCAAGAGGTCCTGAGTTTGAGTGTCTCATCGGTTATTAATAGGGATAGCCACTGGGGCTCTTATCTGGCAGATAGTTTTAAGGTCCCGAAGGATTAGTTGAGATATGTGTAAGTTGGTTAGGGCACCCTTGGTCATAAAAAAACAAAAAATGTGTGTGAGGGTGACACTATAGATTAAAAAGAAGTTTCACTGTCGAAAGGGCAAGTGGAAGGGGCAATATAGTTAAAATGTTAGAAAGGGTAAGGGTAATGAAGGTGGCTATTGTCTTATAGTGAAGAGGGATTAGGCTAAAGAATGAGGATAGCTGATATAGATGTTTTTCTACTTGAGGACAAGACAAAAGCACATGGAGAGAGGAGGGTCCCTACGCACTCATGGAACCCAAAACCCACCCCAACCCCAATCCTACCCAATCTCAACTCCAATTCCAACTCCAACTATCTTCTTTGGCTAGAGACTTGAAATGCTTTTATTTCAAGATAATTGCGTTTACCCCCTTAGGTTTAGGTTTATTATGTCTGGATCTTGCAATTTTTTTATTTTTTTTTATTTTTTTTATAATCACTAGAGGTGTTCGGATCAATTTGTGCACACCTCAATTAATCTCTCGGAGCCTTGTAATTGTCGGCTGGGTAAGAGCCCTAGTGGCCACTTCTATTTGTGCTTAAGGGGGACTAGAACTCAAGAGTTCATGGAACCTCCTTTTGCTCTTGTAGTTTTTAAACTATTGGGATAGATTCCCTTGATCCTAACAAAAGATAAACTATATAAGGGTAAAATAGGTATATTTTATAATATATTATTGTTCACTAAAATTAGATTAAGTCACCTAAAATATATTGTTTCAGAGTTAGAATTTAATTAAGACTGTTGGTTTAAGGGGGATACCTTCTAGTATTTGAAAAAGGGGAGGATCTTGACTCTAGTAGACCAAAAAGATGAGGGTGGATTAAGACTTTTCACTCTATTGCTTTCTTAAGCTCTTCAATTGGCGAGGACAAGATGGTCCTTTCCTTTTCTTTGTTCTTTCTCTTGTCTAATACGAACACTCACTCTCCTTTCTTTTCTTGTCTCCTTCCATCCACACTTCTCCCAACACCACTCAACACTTAAATAAAACCCACCACTCTCTCCTTAGTCTCACCCACTTTGTCACCATCTTCTCCATCATCTTCTCCTCTTCAGACCCCCTGGACCCTCTATTTCCTTGTATTCATTTGTGTGTCATTCAAAATTCTAATTACTTTCTAATTTCAACAAATTTTTATTATTATTATTCAAACTTTCTTTATATGCCATTCAATGCCCAAATCATAACCAAACTTTCTTCATATAATACTAACAATAATGATAATAAGATTGAAATAGTAATATACACATCATATATTATATGTTTCATTAAATACATAAATTATAAAAAAAGATTTTTAAAATTTTAAATAGTAGAAAATAAAATTACCATTTTCAGTATATATCAAAATGGTAAGTAAAAATCAATATAAGAATAATTTATGAATAAAAATAAAGCATTAATTGAAATATTCCCTTTAATATAAGAATAATTTATGTTTTTACTATTTGTGAAATAGAGAGGATTATATTATTAAAACAAATATGGCAAGCAATATAAGAGTAGAAGGTTACATACCTAAAATGTTAATAGAAATTTATTACTTACCATATTCTCTTTCTCTCTGTCTCTTTTACATCTCTCTCTCTATATATATTATATATAGTCTACAAACCATCATGTCTCTCATCTCATTTTGCCTTTCTACTTGTCATCGATCATACGTTAACAATATAACTACAACTTCAAGCACTCCCCACCACTTTTAATTTCCTTTCAATTAAGCCCTTTAAACCACAAAAAAGCTCAATTCTTTTCTTCCCTTTTCTCTCTCTCTTTCTCTTGCATAGCTTTGATAGATTCCTTCTTTTCTGCTGAGAACCTTTCATTATGCCTTCAAGAATCTCTGACGCTTTTCGAGCCCACCCGGTCGACCTTCATCCCAATCACCCTGACTTTACCTCTCTTCAGGAATTGCCTGACTCCTACAAATGGACTCATCAGTTCGAAGACTTTCCATCTACTCCTGTTTTTGATTCCTCTAGAGTCTCCGAACCCGTCCCTGTTATTGATCTCAATGACCCTAATGCTCTTCAACTCATTGGCCATGCATGCAGAAGTTGGGGTGTTTTTCAAGTCATTAATCACGGCATCCCCACTTCCATTCTTCACCAAACTGAGTCCACTGCTAAAACTCTGTTCTCTTTACCTCTCGAACAAAAACTCAAAGCTTCTCGATCTCCTGATGCCGTTTCCGGCTACGGCTTAGCGAGAATTTCTCCATTCTTCTCTAAGCTCATGTGGTATGAGGGGTTCACTGTCTTTGGGTCACCTCTCGATCATTTTCGTCAACTTTGGCCCCGAGATTATACCAAACACTGGTAAAAATATTAATCACACTTGTGTTTTTCATGCACGTGTAAACTTAATTTCATTTTTTTTCATTTTGATTTGGTGATGAATTGATAATGGCAGTTTAACTGTATATTTATCACAACACTAAAAAAAAACACATAACCCATTTGCTTTCCTTAATGCAATTAGCAAAGATTATAATGAAAGCAATGGACCCACTATGGAGATTTTGGAGAGATTGTCTCAAGAAAAAAAAATCCAGTGTCGTACTGTTTACTTTGTTTTAAATCCATAATAATAGCATCTTCACTATTTCATACAGTGTTTTGATTTTTCTGAGTTTTTTTTCTTTTCTTTCTTTTTGTTTTCTTTGATCAGTGATGTCATAGAAGAGTATGAGAAAGAGATGAAAAAGCTAGCGGCAAAATTAGCGTGGCTAATGCTGGGTTCACTGGGCATAACCAAAGAGGACGTTGATTGGGCTGGGCCTAATGGTGATTTTGCAGATGCTTCTTCGGCTTCCCAATTGAATTATTACCCGGCGTGTCCCGATCCGGACAAGGCCATGGGTCTTGCTGCCCATACCGATTCCACCATTCTCACTATCCTCTACCAGAACAGCATCAGTGGGTTACAGGTCATGAAAGAAGGTGTCGGATGGGTCACTGTCCCGCCCATCCCAGGCGGGCTTGTGGTTAATGTAGGAGATTTACTTCACATATTATCAAACGGCTTATATCCGAGTGTTCTCCACCGGGCTATGGTGAACCGAACCAAGAATAGGATATCCATTGCATGCCTATATGGGCCGCCCGCCAATGTCCAAATCTCGCCATTGCCAAAGCTTGTAAGCCCAAGTCAACCTCCTCTCTACCGGGCAATTACTTGGAGTGAATATCTTGGCACTAAAGCAAAACATTTCAACAAAGCACTCTCGATTATTAGCAGTCCTCAAAAGGGTTTGGCTGATGTAAATGATCATAATAATAGCGTAAAAGTGGGCTAGCTAGATAATCAAATTCTTTGATTGTCTTTTCAATAATTTGATTGGTTTGCCATGTTATGGGGACTCAAAAAAAAAAAGAAAAAAGAAAATGGAATCTTATTTAGTTCCCATGAAAAGGGCCATATGGATTTAATAAGTTACAATAAATCCTGATGAGAATATTTGAATGCAGACAAACAAGCCTCTATTGTGTCTTTTGTCTTTGTATTGAAAGAGATAGAGAGAAAAAAATGAAAAATACCTATTTTGAATGTTAACAATAAGGACACAAGAAACAACAATCTTCTTTGCCCCGGATATGAAGGAAGAATAGTCGAAGTAATCAAGATAAAAACGTTGTTAAATCATTGGATGAGTCATTGAATATGAAGGTTTTCAACAAGACTATAGCGTTTGCCAATTGTTTCTTTCTAATTGCTACACTCTCTTTGATTAGTCTCAAAAAGATTGATCAATAATCAAAGAGGGTTTTGTATTATTATTGCTATTATTGTGGAGACAATGTTCTGAAAAATGAAGATGATATTGCCTCTGTACGACTGTAACCACGTGCACCTCCACATTGCTTTGCCATTCTCATTGCCCTACCTTATCAATGGGGACGATGCAGTTTCTACCGTTTCTTCATTTGTTTCTTTCTGCGTTTTCAACGTTGTTGATAAGTCGCATCCATTTCAAACTCTGTCATCTTCTTTTCTCAATATTTTTTCGCTAGATTAACTTTTATGGCCCAAGCACATATACCCTTAATTACAAATACGTAATTTAGCTTGCGTTTTAACTACAATATCACCACCGGAAAAGAGAGATAAGCTAACGCTAAACCCGACACTGGAACAAATTGTTTCCGCAAATGATGTCTCGATCAGTTGCTCTGGCACGGTCATTTACTTGATTGATCTAACAGACATTGACATTTTGAAGAAGTTTGGACATGGGTTTTACTTGATTGATCTAATAATGAGAGTGGACACTGTTGAGTATTTAGACTTTATTATATAAAAGCTTGTAATTGTGGCTAACTGTTAATTAATCAAGCTGGTTTGTTCGTGGGAAATATCGCAATCAAGCTTTGGAGTTAATTAATCAAGCTGGTTGGAGATGATTTAATGAATAAGATGTTTTACATGAATTGCAATACCATCAGTATGAATATATGATGATCATCTTCAGCTTTCACAATCCCTTTGAGACTAAAATCCCCAACTTGAATAAAAGCGATGTCGAAAGTAAATTAATTTAGAAATGGGAATCTTTTTTGGTGTCTCTGATGCTGCTTTTAATTAATTAATTAATTAATTAGTAACTCTATTTAGATTATCACATCATGCAGTTGCTCTTTCGTTTTCAAAGAATTTAATCAGATCCCCTTCCACAGTTAAACAAAGTAAATCCCATATATATTTTGTCTTATTGTACTGAATTTCTTTGCAACTTCAATGTCTTTTCAAATGATTAATTACTTTTTATAAACCTAAATTTACTCTTGAGTCGCCCTCTCAATCATCATCGTCAGCTTGACAAAAATACACATAAAGCTTACTTTTAGGCATAAGAGACTAACAATTATTCAACCCTAATTATATATAATTAGAAGATGGATTAATTAAACTTTTTGATTAGTGTTATTAGGTTCCCCATCCCCCTTCAGAAACTACACTTAGCTGCAGCCTGGGAGACTTCAAAGATTAAACACTGTTTTGTAGACATCTTTTTTTTTTTTAATTATGATTTTGAAAGTTTCATTCTCAATTATTTTATTAGTACTGACACAAGAATCTTTCAGTACTAATAAAGTGTTATTAGGTTCCCCATCCGCCTTCAGAAACTACACTTAGCTGCAGCCTGGGAGACTTCAAAGATTAAACACTGTTTTGTAGACATCTTTTTTTTTGTTTTAATTATGATTTTGAAAGTTTCATTCTCAATTATTTTATTAGTATTGACACAAGAATCTTTCAGTACTAATAAAAGAATAGGTACTGGCTCTTCGGAGTTAGAAAGGTTCTACTATCATTACTGAGGAAAGCTTTAGTTAATCCTCTTTGGATTGTATTTTTTTATATATTTCTTTATTTTTCAATACAAAATATACAAATAACTAGTTCAGTTAGATAGATCTCTCAAACAATCTATATAAAATCTTTTTTCTTGCAATTTCATTATATTTAATTTTTATTTTTTACGTTTGTGAATCAAATGCTTTTTTTTCCAAGACTTTAATATAGTTTATCATTTATCTTTGCTTAACTATTATTCAGAAAATTGAGTTCATAATTCATGTTGATACTGACCTCCATGAATCAATGTTAATATTTAGTCATGCAGAACTTTAATTTTATATTCTGCTACAGACTTTTGCCGCTTGTTTTTCACAGACAAATAATATTTTTTTGTTGAGAAACTTCCAGAACACACATAAAATTATTAGTAATTTCAGGTATAAACGAGATCAACGAAGGGAAATCTCGATCAAATTCATGAAAATGATTTGATCGGTAGGTAACATGTTTCGTTAATTCATTTGATCATCTACCATATATATGATCAGTCTATAAAGGACAATGAGGGTTTAGCCTGCTACCGGTTATTATAATTAAATCAAGTGAATCTCTTTCATATATAAGATAAAGAACCAGAATGAAAATTCATTACAGTCCACTAATATATATTCTAATTTATAAAGTGTCAAACAAAAAGGAAGTTGAAATGGATTATCTGTTAGAAAAAGAAAGAAATGAAAGTAGAAACAGTTGGAGAAAAGGTAACATAAAGTTTAGCTGCTTCGCGGTTTTTGTACAACACATCTCATTTGCTGCCTAAATTACCAAAGAAATTTTGGTTCAAAATTAAACGTGCTATACAAGGACACTGACAATGTTAGAACTCAAGCCCAACGCAAAAGATCAGACTGATAGGTGGGAGAGCCCATAGACTTAAGTACCACTCTTGGTAGGTGTGAGATCCTGATGTGAGATCCTAACATTGCACCCCCCTTCAAGAGCCGACGTCCACGACAACTTTCACTCCAATTTCTCTGTTAAAGAAGTGAGAGTCTCTACTTGGACAGATTGTAGGATCATAATTTTAGCAAGCTGCTCATCCAAAAGACGCAAGCGAGTGCCTTCAACCATAACTAGGGAACGAGAGCACCAATGATAGGGTTTGGGGAACAGAGATCTCCAAGAACAAGAGATGGAGAAATTAATTGACAATATTCTTCATTGATAACCACAATCTAAGCAAAAGATATATGAGACGGATGTGGCCTTCTTTATTATCACCAAATTTTAAATTCATGAAGGCCTTGATTGTGTAGAACAGCAGAAAAAAGATAGATTAACTTCTTTTTCTTTGCATTTAAAAAAAAAAAAAATGTAATTTCCGTCAGATTGTGTTGGCCACGATATTGATATATCTTTATATAATTAACAACTATAATAAGATAAAACCCTATTTAAACTAACACATCCGTGCATGCACCCAAAGTTAATTAACTTGTTTATTTTATTTAAAGAGTAAACGACATATTCAAAATGAGGTTTAGCGAAATCCCAAGTTGATACCCCTAATTGTAATTATTCAAGAACTAACACAGTTAATGACTGTCGAAGGTGGTCGAAAATGGTGAATGAGATCGGCAAGTGAAGGTGTCAATTTTGTAGAGGATGTTATGGGAAGTCCAACAGTGGTTTTGAAAGTGATTTTAGACTTTAGAATCGGTCAGAAAAAGCTAAAAACTGTCGGTTTGGACACTGTTAACGTAAGCCTCTTTTTGCTAATGTGAGCCCTTCTTGGTCAAAGAAAGCACTGACGCATTTTAGCATGCTAATGTGTGTCTCGCTATAGTGAAAAATTAAAAATCTATCAAAAAAAAAAAAAAAAAAAAAAAGGAAATGATGTTACTTTAATCATGGAAATTTGAAATAAATAGAACCAAATGTATCAACTTGAGATTTTGCTAAGTCTTGAGTGGGAATATGTCGTTTCCTCTTATTTAAAAGACAAGTGGGATTAAGATGTAGAACACATCAACTGACTCAATAATAATTAAATATAGAATCTAATTGGGGACCCTAAAATCTATGAGTGATTCTTTGGAACCACAATTGGGAGATAGAGATAACGATCTTAGAGTTAGAGTACAATTTCGTTGACAATTAAGAGACAAAATGCCAAAACAGCTGCAAAGCTATTTGATAGTAAGTTCAAGCACACGATTGGAGAAGAAAATCAGTCACTCCAGTTTCTTTCAATCTCCTATCAATCAAACCAAATGCGTCAGTCGATCTTAATCTCTTTCAATCAGTTTCCGTTAAATTAAATTAATCTTTCATAATTCCCGGCCCTAATCACTCTTATTCAGATAAAAGGAAAGAGATGTGTAAGTAATCTAGACATTCTAACTCAAAATCTTCCAAATTATGGTAGTTATTATATGATTATGAAAGGATTTCATCAATTGTCCTGAACTGGCCTTAAATTTCACATCATAATAGCTGTCTTACATCAAAAACATTATCGTTTTGGAAGTCAAATGAAAATACACTCATATATCCTGCAATGATTTTGTTTACAATAATGGATGCGATAGGAATAATGTGACTTTAATTAATCTCAAAAGCATAATAATGCTTACATAAAAACTCGATTATTATACAAAGGTTTTATGTTTTTGATACAAGGATACATAAAATCTTAAAAATTGCATTTATTGATCAGAATCTGTTTAAAGATCATAGTTTAATGGTATGTATTCCTTACAAACATTTAATACGTCTCTCAGCACAGTCATGCTTGATACCATTTATCCTCATATTAGATATGCTAAATTGTATATGTTTGTGTGAGAATCCTGGGACCGAATGAAGAAAAACCAGAAAGTGTAAAACTTTCCAAAGAAACAAACAGAAAATTTGAGATAGAGAGAATTGAACTTTTGTTTTCCATTTTATAGAATACTTATACAGTTACAAAATGATCTGAGGTGGTAATCCATGTGTTTTACCACAATAAGAAATCTCGAGCATTCAACATTTACACAACAAACACAGAACAACAATTTTCAGACCGTAAGATTTGTGCTTTTCTAGGTAAGAAGAGTTAGCAGAAAGAGTTAAAACGTTGTAACTTGATATAAATTTGTTGATTTTTTTTCTACTTCCACT